GAAGCAACTGAACATATTGAGAAAGCAAAAAATGAGACAGACCAACTCAATGAACAAGCCAGTGAGAAGATTCTGAAGGCGGACGTATAACAAATTCTGCCAACCATTGTTTTTCAGAAGAGGTAGGAATTGATGGCCCAATTCCCAACTTTTTGAGCAACAACATTTGCAACAATCTCTATGCCTTCACTGCTTGGGGAGACAGATGGAAAGGCACTGTGTTATTTAACCAGAGTTGAAGTGACAGAATTGAAAAGTAATAAATCAGGTCACAGAACAGATTTTCATTGCGATGAAAACCTTTCCTTGGAAAATAATTGCACCCAAAGAATTTCATCTGAGTGCAAGCCGTGATGCATTTTCAAAGTCCACGAAATATCTGGCAAGGATTTGATGAAATGTTCAAATCCAATGCAGGATAAAGCCAGCAGGAAGAGGCCGAGAAACAAAAATCTGGTTTATGGCCATTCTGATGGAGGTGCAGATAAGTTGGGAGAGATCATCAAAGGTGGTATTTGCCAAAATCCAATTCATTACTACTTGCTTCCTGATATGGAAGATGAAGATGGGGATGGAGAAGAGAAGAAGATGATGATGGAGGGGGAGAGGGAGAGGATTGAAAGCTACCAACAAAGAAGCTGATGAAGATGAAGGAGACGGTGACTAAGGAACACGGATGGATTCCAACCTTGTTTTTAAAAGTTTCCTCCAGTCACTGGGAGCAAGTTACAGTCTGGATTTTGTTTTGTTTTGTTTTACTCTTAGGCTCAATCATTCTGCCCTTAAAGTCTTTTCTCTCCCTTACATCCTGACTCTCAACTTATTTTGGGTGAAATACCTTGAGCAGAATACAGTGGGAAAAGAATCTCTAACACTGTCTGTTCCCAATTCACTTTTTTTTTTTTAGTTTTAAAAGTATTTTTATTTTTTTCATTTATTTTTATTTATTTATTTTTCTTTATTGATTAAGGTATTACATATGTATCCCTATCCACTCCTTGTCCCCTATAACCCCCCTCCCTCACTCATGCTCTCATCCTCCTGGTGTCTGTGTCCATGGGTTAGGCTAATATGCATGCACACAAGTCCAAATTCACTTTTATCCCTTCCTGACTCAACAAACACTGTGTGGAATCAATGCCCCTGTGCTCCGTGGGAAAGAAAAACCTGCTTACTTTGCTCCACTGGAGGCTGGAGCCTCAGCCCGCGCAGTAGTGCACAGAATTCTAGTTTTTTCCTCCTTTCTCTGTACATTGAGCACACAGATTACACTGTGTCTCTGTGAATGTAAACAGCATTTACCAACATATACCTGTCTACTTACTCTTGTATGGAACATTTAAAAAAAATAAAAATGGGTTTATAGAAGGTCAAAGGGTAGATCTGAGATATTTGGGTTAGTTAAGTGGGCATTTTGACAACAAGGTTTCCCCTTTGGTATGTTTAATTGTGATGTTTAATGGACTTCCTTGCAGTTTAAGATGAAATTCTCTCCTATGGCTTGGGTGCTGCCACTCAATGGGACAATAGCAGACCTGCAGAATCTTATTTGGAATCATCATTCCCTATTGTATTTTGTTCCTGTTTAATTAATTTTCTTTTGTTTGTTTCACTTGAAAGAAAAGATAATGCTCAATTTTAAACATTAAAAGTGTACCAGTTGCTTTCTTATAATGAAACTAAATGTGAAGTTTACCCCAGTAACAAAACAAAAAAAAAGAAAAAAGGAGGAATGAATACTTACATCTCAATTTCCAAAGATCAGTTGCTCAAAAAATGTTTAGAACTAATACTGGGGATAGAAGAGAAGTGAGGCACAATTAGCAAAAAGCATGAGAAGCAGCCAAATAAAAATTCTAGTAAAAATGGTGTCACTAATTATGTGAGATCCAAAAGCATTTGTGACACCTGCATTGGGCTAAAAAACACCAACATGGGAACACATTCCAAAAGAACCTGGGTTTCTAGAACAACCAATTTACCCACCAAGGGAATCTGAAATTCAACTTGATACAGGAAAAATGAAATGATGACAGTAACAGAGCCTAGAAGTTTAGATCATCTCCATTCTACAAAATACAGTCTTCCCTCTTGATATGAAAATCCAGTCCTCACACCATCTGGACATGAAATTACGTTTCCAACTTCACCTCTCAATGGGTTCTAACAAATGTTCTGAATTCCACCTGTCCTTTGATGCTTACTATTATCTTCCAACTTCTCCACTTTGCCATTGTGCAACTGGAGCCTCTCTTTCCAGAATGTCTTCCACCTCCTCCTCTTTTCCTTTATTATTCCTTCCCCACTTTGCACTAGGAAAATCCATCAGA